CATTTGTTCATTCAGTCATTCGTTCGTTTATTCATTCATTCTTTCAGTTAATCAGTCGATCATCCAATCAAATACTATCCCATCGGTTAGTCGATTTTACAAAAAAACGAATATAATCGATCTTAGTAAGTAAATGAACCGAAAATTATTCAATTTCGGTCCGAGAGATCAATCGGTTCGGTAAGGTCGGTCGATTTTTTCAAACCCAGGGCGTCCACCCTTCGTAAAGTAGGGCTAGGTTGTCGATATCGGTGGCTTCCTTCAAGACTGCATCCACCTTAAACAAAGTAATTATATCATTATTATTTATAATTAATATCTATTCGAATAATTATTATTTTTTACTAATTATTTGTAATTATTATTTATTATTACAAATTAGCACGATCGAATGTTTTTTTTTCAAAATCATTGCTGATGTGCGGAAGGCGATAACACAAGCAAACACGAAAAAATGGATAATTAAACGTACGAAATATACGATTTTGGCGGGAAAGTACGAGATAGAAAGAGTAGTGATGAGTAAATGAATGAAAAAGAGAGAGAGAGATGCTAATTAACTGATGAAATTATCGAATAATAATAATAATCAGGAAACAGTAATAACCTGTTCGGCCACGCTAATTCTCCCCTTCCCGTCCACATCTCTGCCGTCCAGTTTGTCCTTCACCCTCCTCCAGACGGCAACCCCGAAGCAGTTCTTCTCTTGCATTGCTGTGTCGCCATTGCGAGTTATAAAAATTATTATTATTAGTAGTAGTAGTAATTTTATTATAATCCAGAGAAAGAGAGAGAGAATAAGAAACCGAGAGAAAGAAAGAAGAGAGAGTACAGAAAAATATCGAGAGAGAGAGAGAGAGAGAGAAAGAAAGAGAGATAAAAAACAAGAATGTGATGTCAAAGGAGATAGATAGAGAGAGCCAGAGGGAGATATATGTCGAGATATAAATATACATAAAATAATTTATGGTAGCACAAATTTGTAACCTTTGCCTGTTTTGGGATCTCTGATGATCTTCTCAGGCTTGATGTCTGGCAGTTTGAAATGAAATCATTCAAATTGCATCAGAAGAAAATTTTACAATGATTCAATGATCTATTCCTATTCATTCATTCTATTTTCAATCCACCTAACTAGACGTTCATTCATTCATTCCTTAATTCATTAATCCATCTATCTATATACCCACTCGTTCATCAATTAATCAATAGACCAATTAATCAACAAACCAGCCAGTCAACCAACCAACCAATCAATACAACAACAACAAGGCACTTTATTTTTAGCATTGAACTTTTTTGCAAACATCTTTACTACTATTACCTGGTCGTTGCGGTTGTTGTTGATGTTGTTGTTGCTTAGATTTCTTGGCGACCACATTACTGCTGCTTGTAGTGTTACTAGCAGTTGTAGTAGCAGCAGCAACGGCAAGAGTCTTGATATTATTATTTTTGTTATTATTACTACAATTTTTATTGTTATCATTATTTTTCTTGCTTTTCTTGTTGTGGGCGTGGTTAATTTTGGAAGCCCCGTCGTCGATTGGTGTGGAAGGTCTTGCGATCGACAGTAGGTCGTCGAATATTCTATCAATAATTTATTTTATATTATTATTATTCGTAATTATCTTTAATGAAATGACTGCTTGATCGATTGATTAATTGATAGATTAATCTAGTGATTAACTGATTGATTGGTTAATTGAATTTATTAACTTGTTGGTTGATTGATTGATAGACAGACAGACAGACAGATAGATAGATAGATAGAGAGAGATAGATAGATAGATAGATAGATAGATAGATAGATAGATAGATAGATAGATAGATAGATAGATAGATAGATAGATAGATAGATAGATAGATAGATAGATAGATAGATAGATAGATAGATAGATAGATAGATAGATAGATAGATAGATAGATAGATAGATAGATAGATAGATAGATAGATAGATAGATAGATAGATAGATAGATAGATAGAACCAACCTTGGAATAAACAGCTTGACCTCATTGAGTGACCGAATTACGTCAGAAAACGAGGTCAAATCCGTGACGTCATCGTCGTTGCTAACTTCATTAACCCTCTCCATGGTAACGTTGAACAAGTCTGAGAAGTTTTTGTGTTGTTGCAGGTAGTTGAATATTTTGTTGCCGGACTGTTGCTGTTTTGTTGTTGTCGATTTTTGCTGGTCCTACCGAATGAATGAATGAGTGAATGAATCAATGATTGAATCAATTCATAAATCAATCTTCCTACCAATCAATCGATCAATCAACCAACCAAGAAACTTACCAGCCGACCGCCATAGATCTTAGCATGCTTTAATGAATCATTTCATTCATCCATCCAATCATTCATGCATTGATTCATACATTCATTCAGATATTCATTCACTCACTCGCTCATCCCTTCATTCATTCGCTCACTCATTCATTCCTTCACTCATTCAAACTTACAATCGCCATGGATCTCAATAGATGTTTCATTTCACTGAGCATGTTGTAATGCGTCAACACGACACCCTTCAACTCGTTCAGCTGCTTGTACGTTTTCGTCTGTAAATGTTTGTATGTTTTTGTATGTTTGTGTTCGTAAGCATTTGCCTCTTTGTATACTTGTGTATTAAAGATGTCTATCTGTATGTCTATGTTTGTATGTTTGCGATTGTATGTTTGTGATGGTATGTTCTTGTATGTGTTGTATGCTTTTATATGTTTGTGTTTGTATGTTGCGATTGTATGTTTCTATGTACGTGTTTGTATGTCTGAGTGTATGTTTTTTTGTATGAGTATTATCATCATCATCATTGTAAAAATCACAACCAACATTTCTATAATTAAACCATCACACAAACATCATCACAATAACCACCACCACTATCAACATTATAACCACCATCATCATCATAACCACCACCATCATCATTATAATTACCACCATCATCATCACTACCGTCATCATCATCATCATCACAATCGCAATCATAACCTACCCCGGCTTCTTTAAGATCTCTCCTACGGGAATTCATTCGTTCGTCAGCCATCACTGATTTGTGGTTCGTAGCGTCGAGGGAGCTGGCTATCCAGGTATCCGTTATCCCGACAGGATGTGTGAGATCCTGGTTATTATTATTATTATTGTTGTTGTTGATGTTGTTGTTGATGTTGTTGTTATTATTATTATCATTATTGCTACAACAACATTAGCAACACGCCAACAATGACATCAACGTCGATAACAACATCAAAAACAACAACAACATCATTAACAACAACAACAACATTAGTAACAACAACAACAACAACAAACTTCATCATTCATCAGCATCATCTCGACAGGTGACAGTCTGTTGGCGTCGTTGTTCTCCAACAAGCTGCAACATCTCTCGCATCTGCAAAAATAAGAAGAAAAACTCCTCAATAAATAACAACGGAAACAACAACAAACAAACATTCAAACAAACATACAAACAAACAAACAAACAAACAGACAGACAAACAGACAGACGAACAACAACATACTGATAAATGAAGTCAGCAACTTCATCAAGAAAATTCAATCTTTCTTTCTCCATCAATATCTCTCTCTTATTTCTCCTCCTCGTCATCTTCATTATCTCCATTTGATAAACACTTCTACCCAATCGAATGAGATTTTCGGTCGCCTTTGTAACTTTCTGTGATATGATTGGTCGATAAATGGATAGTGTAATTTGATTGGTTGACGATAAAACGAACGAGTGATTTAATTGGCTGACTATAAATGGACTGATGGCGCGGTTTGATTGATGAATGGCGTGATTCGATTGGTTGATGGCAAATGGATTGCTTGATATGATTGGCTGATGACGAATGAAAAAGTGATTTGATAGTTTGATGAATGTATGGCGTGATGTTATTTATTAGTGAGAAATTCATAGAAATTCATCACTTTATTAATTGGCTTAAAAAAGAAATTATATCATTGGATGAGTGAAAATAAACGAAAAATGTTCATTGGCCGACTCAGCCATGATTCAAACCAAACAACAACAACAACAACAACGAACCTGAACAAGAAGATCATTACTGAGGACATTAAGTTGAAATTGTTGTTGCAGCGTTGCAAAATTTTGATTGACGCCAGCCGACCACTTTAACCTCTGAACTATGGCTCGACTGACATGCTGATAGCCTGAGTGGGCGGGGCTTAATTTTTCAGACATGTGATTGGCCAATGTCAGAAGAGCCTGTGTTCGGTAATGACAAACAAAAACTTAATGGTATTAACGATGATATTTAATGATAATGATGATAAAAATAATTATTATTATAATACATAATATTAATTATACTTATTATTAGTTATAATTATTAAAATTATTATAATACATAATATCAATTATACATAATATTAATTATACTTATTATTAGTTATAATTATTAAAATTATTATAATACATAATATTAATTATACTCGAATAATAAGACAAATTGTTAACAAAAACCTTTCTAAGTTCTTCTGCCAGAAATTTTCGAGTGTAGATTTGCGGTGATGAAGAAGACGACGATGGTAATGATGACGATAATGAAGACGAGATGTCATTAGCAGTGATAAAACTAGCCAGATCTTGAATTAGATTCTGTTTCAGTTTTGTAGTAGTTGTAGTCACTGCTGCTGCTGTTGTTGTTGCGTTATTATTGAGCCACACAAGCGATAGAAGATGTTGTTGTTTTTGTTGCTGTATGGCTCGCAGCGACTCCACGTGGTTGTAGTTTTGCCTGCATTCGTTGTTGTTGTTTTTAACGTTAGTGTGGTTGTAGTACACGTGAATGTTGTTGTTTGTGTTATTTCAATTAATTAATTAATTAAATCATTTATTTATTAATTTGTTAAGTAATAAACAAAACAAGAAAAGAGCAAGTAACCTCGATCTTTCTAAGCTTTTGTAGCGCTGAACAAACGCATTCAGATCACATTCTATCGATCTTAACCGTTCAAGCGTGAAGACCCCATTGGACAGATAGACGTCAATCAAATTTGAATTCAGCCAATCGGGAGTGATGTTGCAAACAGCCTCGTTGAGTCCGGCGATCTTATCGCTAGCTAGGTAGGAGAGGAGGCGGTCCATTGTCTGGGCCTGAAGTTGTGTCGACCTGCCCAGGAGCTGTTATACAATAACAATAATAATAATAATAAAATAATAATAAAAGAAATAATAATAATAACGGAAATGATAACGAGCAACTGACGTGGAGTTTAATGAACTTCCGGATGAAAGATGATGCTGGTTTCTTAATCACCTCATCAATGGAGACCAAAG